AGTGTGGAAAGGTAGGACTACAGCTGAATCTTATGAAGACAATGTTTATGAGAAACAGCCTCGTTCCAGATGCCCCATTCGCTCTCAACAGAACGACCATCTCCAAATGCAACAGCTATGTGTACCTAGGTCGAGAAGTCAACATGACAAATGACCTGGCACCCGAGCTGCGCAGGAGGAAGAGAGCGGCTTGGAACGCCTTCAAGAACGTCGAAGAAATAGCTAAGAGGACGAAGAACCTCCGGCTCCGGGCACATCTCTTTGATTCCACTGTTCTTCCTGCATTAACATATGCCTCAGAGACCTGGGCCCTACGCAAACAAGATGAGAACGCTATTCAGGTCTCCCAAAGAAGAATAGAAAGAGCTATGCTTGGAATATCACGTTTCACTCAAATGAGAGAAAGAATCCGGAGTTCTGACATCCGTTGATGATCAAGAATCAGGGACACTGTCTCATTTGCCAAGGTGTCAAAAATCAGATGGGCTGGTCACGTAATGAAATTTAAAGACGACCGCTGGACTAGAGCTGTTACCGACTGGATTCCACGGGATGTCAAAAGACCGTGTGGCCGCCCACCTACCAGATGGTCAGACTTCTTCGTCAAGATCATGAACGATCGGTTTGAGGCTCTTCATGTTCCCAGAGCGAACAGATGCCATTGGGCTACACTAGCACGCGACAGGGACAAATGGAGACGTTACTGGCGCCCGCTCAAATCGACGACTAACGGGAAGTTAAGTGATTTTTAAGTGATTCAAAGGATCCTGAGGTGGCCACTCTCAGGATTTTTTCTGGAATGGCTGTACTAGTTTAAGTCCTCATCAACAGTGGACAAAGATTCCCCTCTCTCCATATCTTCAACAATGCTTGTTCTTTTTTGGCATTTTCATTACAGTCATTCTCATAAGTACAAAGAGCCATCACTTTTTGGTTTTGATTTACATTATCCTAATAGTAAGAAATGCTAACCATCTCTTCATTACCAGTTATTTACTTGGCTGTTTACTCCCGGAGAATCCAAGATACGGAGAGAAGTAGGAGTAGGGGGAAGACACAGACAGATTTCAAAGGGAGAACACACCTCAGCCCGGCCAGTTCCAAATAAATCTTGAAGGTACATCTCTCAAGTCCATCCAGCCTATTCTGGAGCATTTTTCAAGTAACATGAGCATGGAGCTAGTCTGTTTCACTTTCTTGTCTGTGGAGAAGCTTTTTAAAGTCAGGTATGGGTGGATATTTAATCAATATTTTGGTCTGATACTCCTAGTGGTATTACAGGCTCAGGAAATGAACTTTGCATGGAACATTTTTTCCCCTGGCTTAGAAACCTGAACATATTAATTTTGTCTGGATGGAAAAGAGACTCAGAAATTCTGGCTTGTATCTATGTATTAGATGCAATTTTGAAACTCGACCTGATTTTGCAAGTTTCAGTGACTTAAACATTTATAAATGTGCTCTAAGTCAGTTTATCTTGCATGCATGAAAGCATTCACTGCAGTGTATACTAGATATGTGCTTTATATATTGTATAGCAATTGTACAGATAATCATACTAACATAGTTTACATTAAGAGCCTTGTATTTGACAAAACAGTCCAAAGATAACTGTTAATTTATCAAACTAGATTCTAGAAATAAACCACAAACAAATGTGTGGTATTCATTTTAAAAGCTCACTGTCTAAAAAAGAATTCATTAACAAAAATTGAATGATTGGGTGATGGAGTGATAGTACAGCAGATGAGGTGCTTGCATTGCATGTAGGTGTCCCTGGTTCAATCCCTTGCACTGCACATGGTCCCCTGAGCACAGAGCCAGGAGTAGTTTTAATGTGTCAGTAGGTGTGGCCCAAGCCCCATACCTCAAAAAAAAAAGATTATTACTGGTAATTTTGTATTGTTTCAAATGAGCCAAGTTGAATATTTCTTAGAATTCTCTTCCCTGTGTTATTCCACTTAAGATGGCTACAAATAAAATCTGCCTGAGACAGATATAAAACCACAAGCCACAGCCTCCCGGGCATATTGGAGGTCAGGTACTGTCTCGGCTTATGCATGTCACTCACTAACAAGGTGAGTCTACACAGTGGCACGGGGCATGGGTGGATTAACACTGCTAAAGATCCTACCATTTGCTTTCTCCCAGGTTCATGGGTGCTCAGAAGTAAAGCACTAAATGTCCTTCTGCAAGTTTCCCTTTCAGTGATGTTGATGCAGTGAGACAGAGTTCCAGTCTGTCCATTCTCTCCTGTTTCATATCAAGATTTTCTTATCAACTGCAGACCCTCTGGCTAGAGTCACTTCAGGATCGAATGGAAATCACAATGCGCCTGACTTCAACTTTTCTGCAGCCAGCACAATCACATACAGTCTAATCCCCCCAACAAACATCTTTTATAACATCTCTCAAGGGCTCTGCTTCCTTAGTTGAAACTTTACCCCCAGAAGATTTGTTACCTCTATTCTAGAAGCAAAGGGGCTTGAGGACAGTATAAAGTATATATCTTTCAATGATAGAATGGTCCTTAATACATCTTTGAGTAAGTAGTCTTAGAGCTTGTCAATGCAAGAAACAGCTAACTATGTCAATAGCCAAATTCTAAATTACCAATCCAAGTATTTGTTCTTTCCCCCATGATCTCATGTCTGCTTTCCCAGGTATAATTTAGAAGTAAATAAAGTACTGGCATTAGGAGTAAATTCAAAAGAAGTAAATTCAAAACTCTGATAGCATAGTCAAATTCTTAGAGTTAAGATGTACATAGTAGGTTCTAACAACAGATACTAACTTTTCTCCTGACAATTTTCTATGACAAAGATTTAAATGAAGACGACCTCTTTTGTAGTTTATCTAGTGAACCTGAGTATTTACAACTCAGATTTCTTACATTTAAAGTTCTTCCCAACAAAAGAACTCAATTCCGTTCTACCTACAATGGAATTTTTCCCCTGACAAACCTGCAGAGGGAGCTGGTTCCTTAGAGAAGCTATAAACACCCAGCTACATAGATCCATCCTTGGGTTCACTGAATTTAAACATATTAAAGATATTAAGGAAAGTGCGGAGATAGGCTGACGGAAAATGAGTGTTGTGAGGATTGAGATCTGCAGCTACTTGAGATAACAGAGGTGGAGAGAATTTGGGAACAATATCATAATCTGAAATTCATCTGGTTTTGTCTTTCTTTCCCTCAAGACTACATACTTGCTAAGGGCAAGAGGGGTGTATCATATTTTGTTGTGCTCCATCCAGCAAGCACAGTATTTGACATACAGACTGTATCTAGCATATGTTATTGCTATTGTTGAATAAGACTATGTAATTTTTTTCTAAAGGAGAAAACCCAGATTTTTCATAAGATACCTAAATGAAATTCATTGAAGATTAAATGGTCTTAAAAGATAACTTTGTGAGGTTGCTGGCCTTATGAGTCTGGTCTTATAAACTCGGGCTTCCTGATTATACCCTCTGGCTAGTGTCACTTCAGGATCACACAGAGATTACAATGACAGACTGACATCAGTTTCAGAGGCAGAGAGGCAGGGGGTGGCAAGCCATCAGCTTTCTACTTCCTCAAGTAAAAAAGTAAAATGTGGACCAAAAGAAGATTTGGAGTTCTCTAGCATTAATAAACCAGAAGCTTTAGCACACTTGTTGAATAGTCTCTATTCCATTTGGATTATTCAGAAAATGAATACAAACCTTACAAACTTAAAAAAAAAACTCTTAGGAAAACAGGTTACACAGCTCAACAAAGAAGGTGATGATCATGAAACTGCCAAGTACCAAGTACACTGTGAGATTTCCAGGTAGTCGCTGAAGAGAAAATGTTGACACTGACGACATCCCTGTATGCTTCCTCAGCCACACCTCCTACTCCCACATGTACCCGGAGAGCATCACCTTCCCTGGTAGCAAAAAAAATATTTATCTACTGAATCAGCTACTAAGACTAGTCATTCAGTGCCAAGTGCCTCCAATGCTTGAGCCTCGTATGGCTGGTTGGTGAGCAGCTCCTCGGACTAGTCTCCAAGCCCCCGTTTCCCAGCAGCCCACTCCTCACACTGTCCCCTTTTCTGATCCTTCATATGTCTTCTAAACCATTTGATTCATTTTCCAGAGTTCCAGTGATCACCTCCTTAACACCTCAGCTTTATGCCAGTAGGAGTAATGGTAGAAAATCTACTAGCCATCTTCATCCAAGTTATCATTCAAAAGAATTTCTTGTGTACTTCCCAGGAACTAGGCTTGAACTACCTCAGAGAACAAAGTACAAATCCCTGCCCTCATGGAGTTTATATAACAGGTTTGCCAAACTCAACATGTTCAAAGAGCCTTGACAACTTCCCATCCCCTGCCCTCCACCTCACAATCAAAAGCACCTCAGATCCTCAACAGCTTCCTGTTCACCTGACCTCAGCTGTCCTCACTCTCCACTGCTCAAAAATAGCAGGTCCTCTTCTATGTGGCCCAGACTATCAAACACATGTTACTCTGTAGCTCATGCTCCAATTACAACCACCTGAACACCGCCCCCCCCCCCACACACACTTTTCCCTTTGGGCCTCTTTCTTCTAGGATGCTTACTCCTGCCTCTGCCCTCTCTGTCTTGCCTGGTAAGTCTCTACTCAACCTCCAAACATCACAGGGGCTCACTAACGTCTGTTCCTGGAGGTCTTCCTCTGCTTGGGAGGATAGCTGTTTCCTCTCTCCTCCAATATAGGTATGATACAGAGCTGATCTGCCTGCATGTCTGCTGCCCTTCCAGACTAACCTCGCTGTAGCCAAGGACCCCACAGTCCATTGTGGGCAACCCCCACACCTGGGGCATCATATCTGGCACACAGGAGACTCTCAAACAGCTCTTCGGTTTTTATAACTTGCACTGAAATGAAAAAGTCTTTTGTTTGCCTGTGAGAATTCCTTATTCAGCAGAAAGCATTCTTCTCTTCCTGGGGACCAGAGATGTTGGATTAAAGAAAATAAGCACTCACTTCACTTCTGGAGGCAACAGCCCGGTGCAGAGGGGTCAGCCACATGTTGTCCTTGGCATTGACACGAGCTCCTGAAACGAAACACCACAGGTTAGAGGCTAACGGAGTCAGTGGGAGTTCTACTTCTGTTAACTATACTTTATTTGTGTGATAAAATCAGCATGTTCTTTTTCTTTCTTTTCTTTGTATCTTTCATGTACTTTCTAGCCACCAGAAAAGGGGCAGAAGAAAAAACCCAATATTGTAGATTATAAGAATAAGAGCCAAGAGTGCCATAGAAATAACAATTGTAAAGTTGTAAAAAGACTGAAGTTATCTGGGACTATGGAAAAGTAGTTGCTGAAGAATAAAGAACTTTCAGGTTATGTTTGTACATGTACCTGATATAACACTATTGCATATATAATAGAGATTATTATATTGTACTGTTACATAGGACTGGAGCGATAGCACAGTGGGTAGGGGATTTGCCTTGCAAGTGGCCAACATGGCCGACCCGGATTTGAGTCCTCTGCCCCTCTCGGAGAGCCTGGCAAGCTACCGAGAGTATCTCGCCCGCACGGCAAAGCCTGGCAAGCTACCCGTGAGGTATTTGATATGCCAAACACAGTAACAGTTGTCACAATGGAGATGTTCGGGGCCCGCTCGAGCAAATCGATGAACAATGGGAGGAGAGTGACAGTGATTGTCACATAGTGGGCTGGAGCTATAGCACAGTGGGTAGGGCATTTGCCTTGCATGTGGCTGACCCTGCTGACGTGGATTGGATTCCTCTGCCCCTCTCTGAGAGCCTGGCAAGCTACCGAGAGTATCTCGCCCACATGGCAAAGCCTGGCAAGCTCCCAGTGTATTTGATATGCCAAACATAGTAACAACAAGTCTCACAATGGAGATATTACTGGGCCCGCTCAAGCAAACTGATAAACAACAGAGGACAGAGCTACAGTGCTACTGTTACATAGTAACTAAATATATTTCTTTTAAGGCTACACAATTGTCCTCTTGACTAACTATCCAGAATAAGTAACCAACCTTCCATTAAAGGAAAAAGGAAGTGAGACTGCAAACAAATCTTGTAAAGCTGAATTCTGGTAGTTGATGTGCATTGTGAATATTACCAAAAATATGATTTATCTCTGAATCCAAAGTCTTTTGCTAGATGTCACCTGATACTTTGGTATTTTGGCAACAGTTTCCATGGACAGTTCAGTTAGACAAGACAGGAATTCCAGGTGGTGTCCATGGTTCCATCCACTATGCAGAGGGCAAACAGGCTCCGACAGAAGCCCAAACCTACTCCCATTTAGGGGTGGTACAGCCTAATCTCTCCAATTGCCCCAACTCTGCCATGGAACACAAGCTGTGTGTGGTGGATTTACAGAAAGTAGAGTACACCTTTCATACTCACTCATTTCTTCAGTAGCACAAGTCCACGAGTCTGCAACTAAACTGCTAAAATATTCAATACGAGCTTCCTTGGAGAGGAATGAGGGTACTAAGCGGTTAGGGGTTTTGAATCAATCTTCTCATCAAAGTTTCATAAAACGGTTTACAAAAGAAGAGGAGGAGAGGTTAGAGATGATCCCTTTGTGGGTGCAGTAAGAGGAGCCCAGTTTATCCTGAGTGCAACAAGAGAGGAAATTCACAAGCAGGGGCTATGAATCAAAGAAACTAGAAAGTGAAGCAGAAGAGGCAGGGCGAGCACATCAGGAGCAAGGGCTGAGAAAATAAGTCAAGTGGAAACAGAGGCTGACTCACTTGTGAGGCCAAGGCCAGCTGACAGCTTAAAAAAAAAACAAACAGAAATCTGCCTGCCTTCCCCGCACCCCCCAAAAAGGAAGCAGGAGACTTTCACGTGTAAAAAGTAAGCTAGAAATTTACTTTAAGCTTGACTAAAAGGAGATAAATCAGGAATTTCCCAACTACTATTTCTCTTCAATGGAAAAAGAATAAATGCCATCAGCAATATTAATTTTAGAAATAGCACTTAAGTCTAAAAACAAAGAGATATACAAAGTGTCTCTTTTACCCATTTCTTTTTTCTTTTAACTTTTTTTTTTTTGAGAGGGAAACAGGCGAAGTATTTTCTTAAATACTTCCTAAAGGTTATTCTAGCATGGTGTCAAGGTTAACAGCCACTGAAAAATTGTTGCTTAGTTTTTCAGTATTAAATAATTTGAATCCGGGGCTGGAGCAATAGCACAGCATGTAGGGTGTTTGCCTTGCACGTAGCCGACCCGGGTTCTATTCCCAGCATCCCATATGGTCCCCTGAGCACCGCCAGGGTAATTCCTGAGTGCAGAGGCAGGAGTAAGCCCTGTGCATCTCCAGGTGTGACCCAAAAAACAAAAAACAAAATAAAAATTAACCCTAATATCTATTAACACTATCTAGATATTTTCAAGCCACTTATCCAATAAGGAACAAATATCAGTTTGCTAGAATCAAAAGTACCAGTCATCTCTCTCAAAGGCCTGCATTAAGTGATTTGGAGTGAAATGAATCAAATCTTGAAAAGATGGTGAATTCTCAGTCAGAAGACCCGGATTAGAGTTGTGACCTGAGGACCTACTATCCCTGGGACAAGAGTCATAAATCAGAGGCATAAGAATAACAGTACTTCTCTACCTACTTTAATGCATGTCTGGGAGAAAAAAGTAAGTGCTTTACAAATTGAAAACCACAAGTTCTTATTTCCGAGTCCCTTCTAATATCTTATTCACACAAATATGTGACTCAGATTTTCAAGGAAGAAACAGTCTTTGCACTGGCAAGAAGGGGGAAGTCACAAGCAGATTTAAGAACACAAAGAACCATCACTTAGAGATTGTACAAGTGGCTTCTTTTCAAAGGAGAGAAAGACTACTGCTAGAGAACTCTAAGGAAGAGGAAATCCAAATGTAATTTAAAAAAAAAAGAATGTGACTCTTAAAATTTCCACTGCAAAAGTAAAATTTTAGATTTCCTCTCTTAAGTCTTGGTTTTAAGAGTACCAGATGCTACCAAGCCTCCCTTTCTGATTCAGAAACAAAAAGCACATATATCTTAAAATTGTAACATTTCCTCCTCCAATAATCTGGAAGGTATTCAACAATTTCTTTAACTACCCTTCTTTTTCTTTGGGTCATAAATATATGTACTTTACTGACTTGTGCTTGTAACTGTATATCATAAAATAAAACTTTCATTCACTCGTGCAAGGCAAATGCATGTTTATAACTTATCTTTAGGTTGTTTCCTGGTTGCTCCTATCATAAACATCGCTCAGATTTCATGCAGTCCTGAGAAGAACTTTGCCTTATCCCTTCACTGTCACTGTCACTGTCACTGTCCTCCCATTGTTCATCAATTTGCTCGAGGGGCCCAGTAACGTCTCCATAGTGACACTTGTTACTGTGTTTGGCATATCAAATACGTCACGGGTAGCTTGTCAGGCTTTGCTGTGCGGGCGAGATACTCTCAGTAGCTTGCCGGGCTCTCCAAGAGGGGCGGAGGAATCAAACTCGGGTCGGCCATGTTGGCCGCTTGCAAGGCAAATGCCCTAGCTGCTGTGCCCTTCAGAGTGCCCTGTTTACTGTTAAGGCACTCAGATCAGAAAGTCAGAGTCATCTGAGATAGAGAAATCTGGCCACTTCCCCCTCTCTTTGAGTTTGAATTTTCACCTGGCTTCTGAATAATTATCCTTTCTTTAGTCACTCCTTCCTTTTGTATATTTGTAGGAAGAAATTCTACACTGGGTCAATCAGACGTGCTCCTTGCAAAGGATACCATGACTCAACCTAAATTAGCACTGTCTGGTGAAAATGCAGTGTGACCCAAATACCAAATTAAAATGTTTCTAATAGCCACATTTAAAATGGAAGGGGAAAAAACAATTTTATTTTATATTTAACTCAATATACCCATAATGTTATCATGTGATAAAGAATGAGAAATTAGTAGGATTATTTACATTCCTTTTTCTCATGATAAAGCTTCAAAATCCAGTATGTGTGTTATATTTATAGCACATCTCCATTAAAATAGGCTACACTACTAGGGCTCTGGAAGACACCAAAGCCACTGCAGCCACCTAAGCTATCAGTGGTCTATGGCCAGCAGACCCTACTGCGTAGATCTAAATGTTAAGTGGGACTCTAGGTGTATCCATTCATCTTCTTGAGTAGCTCCCTTCAGTTCTAAAGAGGGATTCACTGAAATTGGTAAAAACTGCTGCCACATCTGAGATTTTATTCTATTTACTAATGTCTGTATATTGCACTTAATAGAGATACTATTTTATGCCATTTTTATAGCTAAAGAAATAAAGGTGGTAAGAAGTAATATGTTCCAGCTATCCAGCTAGAGAATTATTTAAACTCTGTAAAACTGACTTCAAATACCAAACTCTTGGATGTTCCCTCTAAACAATAACAAATATTCATTGAGCATTCAGCAAAATGTTGCTTCCCTTTCCTTTCTCCATCTTATTCTGTTCCTCAAAGTCACCTCTCTTTTTCTCTTCTTTTTTACTGATATATGTATGTACAAAAATACAGGCATGAGTGGTATATTTACCCTTGATTTCATTCCAATTTCTTTTATGTCTTCATATGAATAATATGTGCACACATATAAAAAACAATAAAATCAAGCTGAGTGGTAAACACATTATTTTTCATATATTTATTTTCTATATTTTAAAATATATTAAATATATATTTAAATTATTATACAGTAAGCTTTATAATACTGCTTCATGCATACAATTTTACATCAACTGTATTGTATTATAGTAATACTGAATTTCCTTACTTCACTCAACAATTTTTATATGCATTCTTGTTGCTACAGAATGAGTTTGCTCTTTTTTTTAAACTTGAGTTTATTATTTTTAATCGATGTGTATATTCTAACATACAAATAAACCTCATTTTTAGACATTCTCTCAGTATGGGTATTTTCATTACGTCAGTGTTTCAAACAATGCTGTGAACATCCATAAAATGACTTCTTATGCAAATGTAAGCATTTGTCTAGGATACTTGATTAGATGTGGTCTTCCTCTGTCATAGGTCATGCATACTTCTGGCCTTGCTAGATAATCTCAACCCTCCAAAGTATACCAATTTACACACTCCCAGTGCATAAGACGTCTTCATTTCCCACATCCTTATCAACACGTGACATTAAGTCATTTTGAATATAATAAAGAAAATGGTATTGCATTTTATGCTTTCCTATTTAACTGTGGGGGTTTTTGTTTGTTTTGTTTTTCACAAGGTTGGGGACTGAACCCATCCATGGCCTCGCACATGGAAGGCAAGCGCTCCATTACAGAGTTCCATCCCTGGCCCTAGGCATTTTCCAATATGCTTATTTACCGGACATTATTAATTCATCTTCTGAGAATAGCTCATTCACAGCCTCTGCCTATGCCTTGTAGTGTTCTATTACTGTTTTTCCCTATAATTTATATTTCCACATTTATATTGTGTTACTATTACCATTATTATTCACATATTCTGAAATCTTTCAGCTTAATGTAAACCAAATGAGATTTTTTTTAATATTCAAATTCTTTCAGGGAGAAAAATGATCTCAAGCTTGCGGGGCATCATGGAACAACATCCGCACAGCATGTAACAAACAGCAGCCTTGACTCTGGCAGCTTCCAAGTCACTTGAGGAATTGAAAGATAATTAGAAATCTAGGAAGTGGCTTCTCTCGAGCCACTGCTGAAGTCCTTCATCCCTCTCCTCCTCCTCCAGAAGCTGAGTGGCAGTGGCCAGGAAAATCTCGCCTACCAGAACAACACAATTACTCTGACAAAGGCGAAGTTATCTGAACAGGGCCCAGCAGTATTTCATTGGTGTCATCCCCCGCCACCGGCTTCCTCATCCTCTTCCTCCGAACATATCTCTGAGCCTTGTTTACATGTCAGGGAGCCGACAGTTGGTTTTGGCTCTGAGTTGAATATTTATAACATTTTTCTAAAGGAACCTTCATGTTATTTACCTGCCTGTCAGGCACCATTGTGCACTGAAGGACAGAGTCTGCATGGCTAATGATTTAAAGGCAAATGCTTTCTCCCAAGGACATTTTAAACATAAAAATAGCACCAGTCTATACAGGATCTTCAGAGACAAAGACCTATCTTAGCAGCTCAGGCACAAACCAATTACAAATTAAATATTTTTTCTTCGGTCTTATCACTACTACCATTTGATTTTATTTTCATAGATATCAGGAAGAAGGGGAGTTCTCAGGATCTTTTCCAGAGACAATCTTTTTGTTTTCTAAGCCCTGTCATAAACGAAGAAATAGAACAAAGGAAAAAAGGTAAGATTAATTCCTGAAAAATCTTACAGGTCAAAGAGAATAACTAAGAATTAAGACAGATAGAGGCAAATTGTAGAAATAAATAAATGAGAAAGACAACAAAATATGTTAATGGTATAAAAAGATCAGCTTGCTACTGAATTTTTTTACATAACAAATCTCATTACAGCCCAGGCACACTGTCCTTCAATGCATAACCTTGGAAGAGTGTCCCATAATTCCATGTACGTGGCAATTGCTGAAAACATTTTTAAAACTACCCTGAGAGTTGCCTTTAGAGACAGTTTTCACACTCACCAGAAAATGGTTCATTATTTTATAATCACAGTACACTGGAGGCGGGCTGGGGGTGGGGAGGGAATCAGCACTGTCTGCTTTAAAAGGTATTCCTTTTTCATCAGAAATCCAACCTCAGAGAATGAGTATTTGTTATGCATCAGAGAATCAGAAGAACAACCTGTCACCTATGTAGGCAATTTCCACTGAATGTAGTTTATCACATTTTGAAATATCAGAGAAAATAATTTTATAGGAATATCATTTGACTGCAGCCTGTGTTCTAATAAATCTGTTTTAATTAATCTTTAAAGCAATTTAATTATTTTAAATTTTTATTATTTTAATTACATCTCACAAACTGTTCCATATTAGTATTTTCTTCCTTAGTCCAAGACTCTAATCCTTGTGCATCCCCAGAGTTTCACTGCGGGATATTGTTACTGCGCTGATTTTGGGGGGATGCTAGCTTCCTGTTTCTCAAGTATCTGAACTCTTTGCCATCAACTGTTTCACATTCTTCTCATTCCTATATAAGCAGATAAATGATTTGGCAAATTCTTGATCTACTTTCTGACCCAATCCTGATTTCAACAGTACCCAAACAGAAACTAAAGACAGGAGTTAGAGTTGAGGTAAGAAGAAGCCAGAAGATGGGCTCTTGGTTAAGAAGGGGGAAATTTCAAGGACTAAATTCTCCCTTGTCTGCCTAGAGGCATTCAGAGTTCCATTTTCCTGGCTAATAAAAAAGTCAGTAGGAGTTTAGTGGGCTTAGGTTATACTATGTACATTCTGTATGTTAACTCAGCAATAGAGAATACAGCTGCAATAAATTCTTCTGGGAAAGTCAACTAACTTATTTGTCCAACATGGAAAATATTAGCACCTCAGTCTTTATTAAATTGAAAAAGAGTTTGGTTAGATTCCCTAAAGGGTCAGCTGGAAGATGTATGCTCAGAGATGAAATCATCATGTTCTTGAAATGATATTTCTTTAGGAATATAATATGCAAAATGATTAAAAAAACTTTTCAGTAAAATTAAATCACAAGAATTCCAAGAGCTTGCCTGAGCTTCCATTGTTTATTAAAATTCTAAAGAACTTTCCCAATACTCTCCCAAAATCTGTCTTCCTAACTAATGGGGTGGGGAGAAAAACAATTTCAAAGCATGTACCACACAAAATTATCCAGGAAAGGTTAACGTCTCAAATAATTTATACTGATCAAGATAGATAAGATAGATGCATAGTTTCTCCTGGCTCTACTAGAATAACCACATTTAAGAGAAGCTGGTAGGTTCCCAAGGTGATGTAAAAATCAACTTTCTCAATCACCAGCACTCAGATGCCTGAAGAAAACAGAGAGGTTAAATTCATATGCAGAACTGAAATATTGGATTCTTATTTTACAAATATGTTTTTAAAAAAGAAAAAATAACTTTCTGAACTTGTACATTTATGACTCAAACATTATTCTGAGATTCAGAGAGTTTATTAAAACTCAAATGAGAGGTGGATATGTATAGTTGGTTGGGGACCACTAAGTATCATACAAGAAAAAAAAATTAGTTTATACCCACACTTTTCCATGGAACAAACTTCCACTGCTGGGCAACTAGTTATGTACTGGCTCTTAGCTATAATGTGTGCTAGCACCAAGCAATGTGTGTTTGTTTGGAAAACAGCCCTGAAATGTGTTCAGAATTGTCAGAAAGACAATTTTTTGTTTTTAAGAGCACAGGATTCCTCAAAAAAATCTAAGGACTGAGCAAGAAATCGACAAGAGCACAAAGCATGTAATTTTTAAAGAACAGCAATTTATTTGGGGGAGGGGGTAGAACTTTCAAGAGTATGAATAAAATAGGGGCTGGTGAGATAGCACAGCAAGTTGGGTGCTTGCCTTGCATGCAGCAGATCCGTGTTCAAGTCCCAGCCTCCTATATGATCCTCCAAGGAGTATTCCTAAGTGCATAGCCAGGAGTATCCCCCGAGTATTGCTGGATATTGCCCCCAGTAACAACAACAACAACAAAAGAACATGGGTACAAAAAAATAAGAACAATGTCCCTTTTCCTTGTGTATCAGAACAAAATTCTTTTTTTTTTCCACAACATTTTCCACAACTGTATGAGCTCTGTGTCAACTTCCACCTTCATTTAGCTTACTTTGGAATTCTAATTCAATAGTTTCCCTTTAACTACTGAAAGCAAAGGCAAACCCTATTATAGACCTTTTGCATAGTCTGTGGTTTAAGGCGTTTCCTCCAGATTTGAATCTACCCAAATAAAAAAGGAGGAAGAAAATCTGCTAGCCTGCACACAATCTACAATGTGACATGAGCATGCTCAGATTCACCAGGGATTTGTGCAGCATATCCTCAAGGGAGAAGCACAGACTACAAATGATAGGGAACCTGTTTGGTGAGATGGACCAAGCATACAGCTTTCTAAAAATGAAAGCACTGGCGTTTTAAAATCAATGAAATATTTTAAATACATAGAAAAGATTTTACCAGTGCAAAGACCTGTGTACACACTAATAAGATTTAACATGTGTTCATCAAATTGCTCCCACATTTCAACAAAAACTGAAATATTTTATAAAGCTATATTCTCTTTTATACCCTTCTCTGAAGACTTTCAGCCTATCTAAGCAGAGGAAATTACTACCCAGAAATTGATGTTCTCTTTCCTTCTGTGATTCAATCCTTTTAGTACTCACAGTCACGCATCCATAAACAAAAGTATGTTGTTTTGCAACACAATTTAAATATATGAGATACATATATTCCTATGTTGATGTAAACTTTAAGAAAGCTGTTTCTTTTTTTTTTTTCACTTTTTGGTCACACCAGTGATGCAGAGGGATTATTCCTGGCATATGCCCTCAGGAAATGCTCCTGATGGGTGTTCGGGGGGACTATATGGGATGCTGGGAATTGAACCCGGGTTTGCCCCATGCAAGGCAAACACCATACCCACTGTGCTATCACTCCAGCCCCAGCTCTTTCTTTCCTTACAGAGAAAAATGAAATCCAAATGTACTTAATCATTCTCCACTACTAGATTCTGATTAGACAGTGAGGATTTTTAGAGCAATACACAAATTTTAGCAGGAAGTCACTGATCAGTAAGAACTGTCTTTTCAATAAGACATCTTCCCAATAAGAACTGTTCTTATAGAAAATCACTACCAGGTTTTGTTCAACAAAATTCCATGAACAAAATTAAGAGTTCATTTCTGGTAACAGTCAGTCTAGCAGATTGATCACTTGAGTGTTTATCTCCAGTTAGTTTCTGAGTAGTTATTTACCTGACAGAATCAGAAGTTCAATGATCTCGGCATCACCAAGAAATGCAGCCACATGAAGAGGGGTTCGCTTTTCAGAATCCTGCAATAATGGAACAGATAAACTAGTCAGTGTCAGCTGAAGGTGGTTTCTATAGACTGAGTAAAACATATCATTCAAAGGTTAAAGTCTGTCGAAGAAAGTACAGGTCAACTATGTACTCAGGGAAGTTCGAGTTACACATTTTCTCTGAGCATGCCTCAGTCGCACAGATCCCATTTTCTGTTTCTGTTTTCTGTATGTCTCTTCCTTTTATTGAAGCTCAACTCAGTTCAAAAATGAATCACCATGTACTTGGTAATAAAATTCAATTTCTTTTCAAACTTTCAGTATGATTTTAAAAAAAATCCAACCTTCCTACATACCTAACCACAAAATTTTACTTTCAATGTTTTATTTCTTAAGGGAATACTGTGAAATTGTTCACAAGGACATTAAACATAAGTATAATGATTTTTTCTTTTAGATCTCCATTAATTACTGCCTATCAGTGCCCATTTTTGAAATAGTTAAGTATTATGGTGCTTTGGCCTGGCCCATTTTGATGCCAGGGTAGCTCACAGCTTGCCCTGGTTCCATCCAGTCCCTCATCGGGGCCCTGCTTTGGGGTGCTAGGAAGTAAGACATCTGAGGCTGAAGTCAAGAAAACAGATGCCCAGGGAGTGAATATCATTTGGAGTCAATTAACTCCCAAGTTACAAAGGCATAGCATTAACTGTCTTCCTGTGTCTATACAAAAAGGACATTGCTCTGAATTAACTATGCAATGGATTTAAGGAGAATAGCAATATTTACAAGTTAACAGAGTCTGATTAGAAGATAAAGATGACTGAGATAAAGGAGATAAAGGGAAACAGAGCACAAAGAGGATACAAATAAACACAGAGGAATAGGAGTGCCTCAGGAGCACTGTGATTGTGTGCAACCCAATAAACCTAAGCTCCATGTGGCAAGGCAGAAAGGACAAACCAATGTTATCTTACACCCTCAAAACCCCACTGATCTAAAATAGAGCTGAGATTGGGTCTTCACCTATCAGATGCCAATCTCAGTCCTTGATAAGGTACTTAACATACTGTGCTCAGAGACAGCACAATATTTACCCCTTGTAGGGGGAAAATATTATTCCTTCCTCTGGAAACTGGAGATAATCATATCTACCTCAGAATTCATGATGATGTAGGTTAAATAAAGGCCTCGGCTAGCTCGAGACCTGGCCCATGCACAGCCATTACTGTCAGCAGCATGGACAGCTGTGTCAATCATTCTCCCAAGACTGAGAACTCCCACAGGGTAAAGAACAGATCTTCCTCTGCTTAATCCCCACAAGGAATAGCATACTAGGTACTTAACATAAGATGACCAAATGGAACCAATCTATGGAAAGGTCTCTCCCACAAACTTTCATCAACTGCTCCACAATTATGACAATTAAATCTTGGGAGCAAAGTTTGAGGTGTCTCCTAAAGGTAGCATGCATTTTAGTTTTTAGAATCCTGAATTTACTGCTGATTTTAATCATCATTCCTATTATCACTTAATTGTGTAATTCACCTAACAGCTCTTGCTTAGCCTAAGGATATGATTTTGCTGACAGTTTGGGGCCTCTGCACTTTTTCAGTCTCTTTCAAACCATAGCTTTGGGGCATTTAATGACTCAGTACAGATGGCTGGCAGGGGACATGACAAGAACTGTTCTTAAACCTTGTCTATTCATTCAGAAATCTGGTAAACAGGCTTTATGAAGGGATTAACTAGCTCTATGTAGACAAAACAGTCCAAATTAGCTGGGAATTATTTTTTCTATGTGTCCCTCAGGCAAGAATTAAAGGGAAGAGAAAAAAAGATATAAATGTACAATTTGACAAATTTAGAAAACTATACAACAATGATTAAACACATTATAATGTTATTTCTATAAACATAAAATTCAAGATTTGAAAATACACTTGCTTATTTCAGGATCAAGATCTTAATTTCTGCAGTGAACTATACAAATAACCACTACCAGGCCTAACTAAATCTTTTTTTCTTTTACTTATAGTTTTAGAAGAAATTTGTATTACATTCTCACTTTTAAAAATCTTTTACTTCCCTCAACACCTACTGAAAATTTTATTAATTTTTAGAATAACAGATTTATAATTATATGTTCTATGAATTGACTTCATTCATGGTTTGGTTCAAAAAACTAAGCCTAGGCTACTTAAACAAGGAATAATCCACCAAAATTATGACTTCATTTGACCTGAAGCAAAGTCTGTGCTCTTTAGATAACTTGGCCTCAAATAAAAAGTCAAGAAAACCCCAACATTCAAATCTGCTTAGCCTATTTTTATGTATACTTTTCTGATTCTGTGGCCCCCTTTTAAGGCAAAACTTGTTCAGACTTTAGTTTCTACAGTATAATATGTGTGTGTAATGTGAAATAATATCATAAAATTTTTAGGGGTTGGAGTGATAGCACAGCAGATAGGGTGTTTGCCTGGCATATGGCCGACCCGGGTTCAATTCCCAGCAACCCATATGGTGCCCCGAGCACCGCCAGGAGTAATACCTGAGTGCATGAGCCAGGAATAACCCCTGAGCATCACCGGGTGTAACCCAAAAAGCAAAAAAAAAAAAAGAAAGAAAGAAATTTTTATTACAAATCCTGGTACTCCTGTTAATATGCACTTAGCTTCCAAATTAATTATACTTCCCTTATATAACACACAATAGATAGGTAACTGAAGAGAAGATCTATATCTGCAAGCAACAGCTGTTTGGTTTTCAAAAGCAACAAAACCACATACATAATAATTTCTGCTATTAAGACCTTACTCAAAATTAACAGTGCATTTAGACGAAGGACTGTCAACATCCACTCTCTAGCAAGGAACCTGAACCTGAAGTACAGGACCACGAGGTGAGGAGTAAATAATGGAAACACATTAATCACCACTTTCAACCAGGTGAAATCAACTACAATGTTGCAGTTCATCCTTTGCCTACATTTAAGGGCACTCTATTTTATCATAATCTAATAATGCACTAGGAAATGCCATGATAGAAGAAGGAAGAACAAGGAAGCTTCTAGAGAAAACACAATATTAACATTAGTAAAAGTAGGAAGGCCATTGAATGTATAAGAGAGAAATAAAACCTACTGGGTAGGTAAGGAATGTTTACTTTCCCTTTTGAAAAAAGGCTTCTGACCTATTCTATGCCTCCTGGATGTCATAGCATCCCAATTAGGGAAAATTCACCTTCCAGAACCATTAGGTCTCATCAACAACTAAGACAGGTAATCTAAGTATGTGAAGATGTTGTGCGATCTGCCCAATAGAGAAGCTGATGTCAAGAAATAAGGTTCTTAGTATCTAACCTGAAAGAATTTATTAAAATGGAAGCATGAACATCATCTTAAAAATTCTTTATATTTTTAAAATTTTTATTATTATTATTGATTTTGGGGTCAGGTCACACGCAGCAATGCTCAGGGGTTACTCTTGGCACTGCACACAGAAATTACTCCTGGTGGTGCTCGGAGGACCATGTCGGATGCTGAGGATTCAACCCAGGTCGGCCACATGCAAGGCAAATGCCCTACCCATTGTGCTATCGCTGCTCCAGCCCCAATCTTAAAAATTCTTAATGAAATTAATGAACCGCATACATATTGTCAATGATGCACACTTAAAATTTTATACTGTTATAAGCAACGTTGTTTCAATTTTTCAAAATTGCCAGAGTGAAGCCAAGAATGGCCAAAAAGGAAGAAACTGTGTTTAAATTCTCCAGCAGTCCTGTAATATCTATACAAAAACTTGAATTAATTATTAACAGAACCATATGCAAAACTAGCAAAGAGGAGTTTTGGGGAGAACTCCTGGGCAAACTGAAGCAAAAGTAATGCTTTCACCAAGAAAGAAATATCAAGTTGCAATCAAGAATAGATTTTCTTTCTAAACCATGCCTAACACCAGACAAAATAAAGCAATAGAGGTAATAAACCTACATTGGTGGATAAAAGATTATAGTCTGAAAAGAATACCAGGCATAAAAGAACTCTAAATCTGTGATTAAGACTCCAAACAATAATCATGATGATGTTTACTGAAATGAGAAATAAATAGAAGAGAACTTCAACACAAAGAGAAAAATCCAATCAAAAATCAATGGGCAGGAAAAAATTTAAAAATTAATGTGCGGGGGTTGGAGTGATAGTAGAGTGGGTAGGGCATTTGCTTTGCACATGGTAAATCCAGATTGGATCCCTGGCATCCCATATGATCCCCCGAGCATTATCAGAATGCAGAGCCTTGGTGCAGAGCCAGGAATAACCTCTGAGCATCAACAGATGTGACCTAAAAAGAAAAATGAATCAATGAGCTAGAAGCTGGAGCAATAGTATTACGGGTAGGAAGTTTGCCTTGCATATAACACGAACTACCTAGGTTTGATCAGCTCCCATATGGTCCCCCATGCACCACCAGGATTAATTCCAGAGTATAGAGCCAGCAGTAATACCCTGAGTATCACTCGGTGTGCCCCTCACCAAAAATAAATAAATAAATAAATAAATAAATAAATAAGCTAAAGAATTTGGTAAATAAACTATAACTGAGGGTTAAACAGCAAAATAAAAGAAGCAGAAGACTAGATTAGTGCACTGATTCAATCAAATGACTAAGTGTTAAGTAAAGGAAAACGAAAAAGAACAGATAAGGGCCAGACAGACAGATCAAAGAGCTAAGCATATGCTTTTCATGAAGGGAGCCCAGGTTCTATCCTTGGCACCTCAATGATTCTGTAGTGCAGGGAGTGACTTCAAAACACAGAGCAAGGAGAAGTCACCTCAGCACTACCAGGTGTGACCCAGTCAGCCTTGCACCCCCACGCCCCAGCAAAAAATAAAAGGGGGAAGACAGAGAAAAGAAAAAAATTACAAGAAATGAACATAACATTCATAAAACAGCATCACAAAGAACAGCATTCAAATTATAGACTCCAAAATAACTCAAAGGGCAGAAGTCTTAAAGAAATAATAGCTGAGAATT